TATCATTTACTCTGCAGTACATACTAAACTATGGACAGGGAAAAATATCTAGTGAAAAACAAATGCCAGAAAAATAAATAAGTCCGGATCAAATGAACTATGAAAGAATGGATAATATGCAAACTCAATAGATATCAGCACCGAATATCCCAGCATAAATATTTAAAATTGCTTGTCATTCATCTCTTACAACATTTTATTTTAAAAATTCTATTATTAATTATTATGCAGGGTATGTTTTTTCTCTTGAGACAATTAAATAACTTAATTGAATCTCTTTATTTTAAGAAAAGGTATAGAAAAAAGTTGTAGAGTGTCGAGGGGCCAATTAATTAATGATTTCAGATGTGACTTCAAGGTCATTTGGAGGTCAAGTCTGTTTTTTTTAATGGGAACATATTTTTCACCTCGGAAATGGAAAGAGCAGGAATTTTCAAAACCGGATGTACTTTTGACCCTATTGTCTAGGTGAAAAGTCAAGATTGTTTTAAGATTAAAATTATAAGCTTTTTCTAATGGGAAACATCTGAGGTCACCAATTGATTGTCCCCCTCGACACCCTACAAGTTTTGTCTATACATTTTTCCAAAATAATGGGATCCAATTATGTTATTTAATTGCTTCAAGATAAAATTACACCCTATATAATGGTAAAACATATAATATCAAGGATAGATAAGAGGTTCATAAACACATATAAATAATAATAACGAGAAAATTCTTACAAATATTATACATTACCTTTCACTCTTTTACCTTCTCGATCTTTTACCTCTAATATTAAATAACACGAATCTCTACATAAAAAACCCTGTGCAAAGTTCAAAAAATTTAAACGGAAGTTATTAAGTATTAAGGATGGTGGAATTCTGTCATTGTACGAATTATCGCGACGATTCGATACATTTGTTAGAAAACTATCATATGTTAACGCGAGAATCGCATATGATACTCGCGAGGATTCGCGATTCGATAACTTGAACAGGAGTATTCGCATATACGAGGAAAAGCGATTCATTAAAAATAAACTATTTATTACCAAATATATATATATATTATTACTTTTCTAGCCCTAAGTTTAACGCATTACATACCGCTAAATGCCAATTCTAAAAAAGATGATAATGTTCCTGATACCATACAATCGGCGATTCTTTAAAAAGTTCCGGATTAATAAACTTCTGCTGTATAAAATATCTAAATGTATTTTTCGAAACATTCTTATTTGTGTAAAATTTTTTACGTAAATGTTTTGAAACATTTTGAAATTTTACGCCAAAGCTTTCGAATCATTTGGAAACTTTATACAAATAATGTCGTAATATAGAAAATGACGGATTCGATAATGTAAAACACTATGAATAATCTAATTTTAAAGATTTTTAATATATAAATAACTTAATATAATAAAATTAATAGCATTCAACATAGTTTTATTAATTTCTTTTACAGTTGTATTATTAGAAGATTAGAAAATATCCAATAAACATACACTTACCACAGTTTAAAGTCGTTTTACTGTGTTCGAAAATACATTTTAATAAGAAAATTAATAGAAAATGAATTTATTTAAACTATTTTACGTTATTAATTAGAATTTATCTGTAAGAGGAAAATAAGTTATTAGCATATTAGACTACATATCTGGTATACAGTAGACTAATGCAAATTCAAGTGTTTGCCTTTCACTTTCGAATGATTAACCCTTTGATTTACAGCTTTACTTTCGTATAAATTTTGAATTTATTTTTTGATTTTGTATGAAATTCACTATAAGAAACTAATTACCGTCAATTTAATATAAACAATTTAAACGTTCAGAGTGTTCGCTAAGCACTTCCAACGTTACTCTACAGCTTTCGTTAACAGACACAAATTATGCTAATCAATAATCTCCAGTGATTTCTCTGAAGTACAATAATCCGTAGCTCTTCATTTCTCACCACTGTGCCTCTTTCTTTACGGACCGGTAAAAAATTACATGGGCTCGAGGAAAAAAAAACAAGGTTATTCCGCTTCCGAACTGCTCGAATTGATAAATTTACAATCGTGGATCACTCTGCTTTTTTTTTACTGCCAAAATTTTTGTTCAGGGCATTTCTAACAAATAATTAACGCATGTCCATGCTTTTTCACTTCCAAGACAACTTAAATACTTTTGAGTGCTAAAATTTATTATTAATTCTGCTTTAAAAAATTTTACGAAATATTTACATCATAAATCAGTTCAATGTTCTATAAAATACTGTATTGCTCACACTTATACTGAATGAAAATTCAACGGATTATATTAATTATATTGTAAGGATAATAACTTCAAACGTAGGATACATACCAAAGTAGGACACTTGCGTGTTATTATAAGCTGTCCTGCAAATTATAGGTCACGTAACGTAGGCTATTTAATATTTTGTTAATTTTCCAAATAAAGATTGTTTTTTGTAAAATTATAAGAGAAAACTCAGTTTTGTTTTTGAAAAAGTGGCAGATTTGATAGAAAAACACGTGGAAATCCGACTGCAATTTAGTGAAAACTTATTTTGTTTTTAAATCTCTGTATATTATAATATTTAATATATATATTTTTTAATTTTATAGTGGAGTTTTTCGAATATAGAATTTGGGAAAAATATTTTTAAATTGAATAGTTATTTTAGAACTAATCAATGGAAATTCAAAAGCTTAAATTTCAGTCCGGTATTTCAGTAAGGGTGATGGAAGTTCGTGTGTTACATAGTCACACGTTATGTCTTTTTTTCATTTATTCTCTGCTTACACTTCTTCCTGCCTTTTTCGAATCGATACTATGCCTGCAAAGTAGGTAACGTTTAGCTAACGTCACAGCAGAACAATTATATTAGATCTACAAGATAGTTATGGCAAAGCTTAACGATAATCTACCGAGGAAAGAATTTGTCAAGAACAACTCTCTATAGGGAACTGGTTCCTATTTAGGTTTTATACACGTAATCAAAAAACAGGAACACCACATATTTAGGGTTAGTGTAGCTCAAACCGTGATGTACTGTCAGTTCCTCTTAAGCTATATAATCATGAAAAACGTAATTTATTGTGATTTAAACTTTAAAAAAATTAAAAGTAACTCATTAATGCATTAGCAATGAGTTTAAACACGTTTTGATAAATTTAAAAATGTGAATCGGAACTAATCACTTTAAGTCGAACACTTTAAATCGTTTCCTATAGGGGTTGGATTGAAGCTAAAATGAAACTTCCTTAAGATAAGTTGGCTTTGCTAAAGTACGCTTTACACATACGCAAATGAAATTACAGTAGATAACGAAGACCAGCTTTATAGTGTTATTTAACTTTTATTCTGTGCATTACGAATAGTCATTAAAAACTTCGAAACAAATCTGAATCCGTATTATCTCCAAAATAGATCCATTTATAAAATATGATGGCAAATCTAAAAGTACGTATTATACAGTACACTGCTTATTTAAAAGATCAATGGTGTACAAGAACTGTTAGGTGTAAACGTACCGTTCATCGACGTAAAACTTTACACTTGACATATCGTTCAGGTGTGACGCTTCAAGTTAGAATAAGGTACACATTGCACATCTTTTACTCCTTTAGTAAACAGTGCATTTTGTACAAGTAGTAAGCGTATCTAAAGTGATACTATAAATGCATATTCGTTGTGTATTGCACTTTTTTTACCTGAATTTTCTTGTAAAATACTCCAAACGAAAGTTTATCAAATAAAAGTTCCTTTTATTCTTTATAGGTAAAGAGTGCTCTGAATGGAGAAATTATTCAAGCTACCATGTAAGCAGTAGTGGTTTTGACATATACTGATCACAAATTTTATTTAAATTAACTTTCTAATTGCAAATATGATACACACTGATCACAAATCTTTAATTTTTATACATGTACATGAAAAATATACTTACAATTCATCTTATTGAATGTCGAGGTTGATGATTGTTGAAACTTCTTAATTATGATGAAAAATTACTCCTTATTTGTACATAAATTTAAAGTTATTGAAAACATATAATTGAGAGTTAATGTATAGTTTTTTGTTCTAATAATATTATAACAATAAAACAAAGTAAAGTAGAGAAATAGTTCAATATTACTTAATATTATCTGAACTTGGACATCTAAGAAGACATGTCTAAATAATTGTAGTTTCAGTTTTTAATAAGAGTTTTACTTATCTGTCCATTTTTAAATAAAAACAATTTCTCATACGTTGTGAAATAATTTAATAAGTTTTGTAAATTACTATGTTCGGTCTAAAAAATTTATTCCATGATTTTTTTTGAGAGTAAAATCAATTTGCCATTGATTTTTCATTTATAATTAATACTTTTTAACTTTATTTTTAATTTTATCGATATACAATTTTAAAAAATATTACATTTTATAGTTGTTGGTACATTAAGAACTTTAGGTATTTGCATAGGTTTAACAATTTTTTTCTATTCTATCGATAATTTATTCCTCTTTCTTTCGATAGTTATATTCAAATAATTAATACTATTATTCCTTTCTTTCTCAAATTCTATATAATTTTCCTATTAAGTTTTCTTGTAAAATTCAATTTTTCTGTTTCCAATTTTTACATCTATATGTATTATGACGATTTTTGCCAGTCTTAGACCTATGCATGTTCTATATATTCTATGTATGCTATTCTATTAACTTGAGTGCAAAACTCTTCATCACACTGAAAAGTTTTACACTTAAATTGTATTTACATGTATTTATGCAATGTTAAAATGATCAGTATGTGTCAAATCACTACTACTCACGTATTATACGAATTATACAATATGAATGTACTTAAAATATTCAATGCACCTTAAAAACAAATTACAATAATTTTTAGAAATTCAAAATTTATCAATCATACATTCAACTATTATAATGAAATAAAAAATTATTTTATTTATTAACGTTAAATATAATTTTTTAATATTCGTTTCAAATTAAACACAACTATGTGTTCAATTGTTCCTAACATTCATTTTTATTATTCAAGTTATTAAATTTATATACTTTGTTAATTATTATTTGTGTTCAACAATAAAAACGTGTAGTATTGTCGACAATCAGGTATCTGATGGAGTTGCTTTAACCATTATTCTATTGATTGTATAAGTGAATAATTCGGTCGGCTCTCTTTCACTTTCCTGTAAATAAAATCAAGTCATTGCGACAAACAATATACAAATAAAAAGTATTAAAAATAAAATTCACGAAAACATTCACAAATTTAATTTCATAAAACTTTTAATGACGAAACAAAGTATTCTATGAAAGAAAAAAGCCTTATTTAAATGTAAGATATTTCGCGCAATATATTTACAATAGAAATATTGCCATTGCTTACATCGTCTCTATATTCTTCTAATTTAAATGATCGTATGAGATTTGCCATTACTAGCTTCATGATAGTTCTAGCTAATCTCTGTGCTATACAAATTCTCTGCCCTGCTCCGAATGGTTGGTAAATTATGGAATCAATTTTCTGCTGTTCCTCGGATGAAAATCTAAAATGACTCAAAGTTTTTATAATTGCAATTTCATAACTTGTTAATAAAGCAGATATAAAAATAATTCATTTATAATTAGTATATTACCTGTAGGGATTAAACTTATCAGGTTCACTCCAATAAGCTGGATCATGTTTTAAAAGGTGTATTGGAATCGTTATAATACAACCTTTCGGAATGGTGATGTCTTTATAACGATAATCTTCTTTACATACTCGATTAACAGTTCTACGTATAAAAATATTTACAGATAATATATTTATCATATTTTATATTTAACTTTATAAATTTATAATGAATTTTACACTATGGGCATTGGCAGAAACCGAAGACTTTCACAGATAACTTGATCTAGCAACTGAAAATTGGTCAAGTCAGAATACTGGATGTCCATCTGAATATTATTAAAAATTCAATAATTATAATTTATCAGTTTTTAAAATCTTTAAAATTTGTATTTTTATTGCAATTTATTTCGAATCATTTGCATACTTTAAAAGTAAGAGATAAGTTAATATTTTATATTTTTAACATTAATATGCAAATTTTAAATAAAAAATGAAATTTTACATCGCTAGAAACATTGATGTTTATTTCTTCACGGACTTTCTCTTGTATGTCAGGATTACGAGCGAGATGTTTAATACACAATCCTATTGTAGAACTTGTTCCTTGATATCTACAAAACAGCAAATATTCGACATTAAATTTTTGATATTTCACAGGGAACATACGAAAACTTATAAATATTATTACGCAGCCACCATAAGGAACATCGCATTTGCAATAACGAAATTATCTGGAAGTTTTTTCATTTCTACAACAGTCTCATCTTCCGCATCGATCAATGTCTGCAGCAAATCTGGTGGAGGAGACTGAAATATAAAATTATGTAAATATTAAAATATTTCATATTGAACTATTGACAATGAATTCACTTCTAATTTCTTCCTGGAGGTGACGATTTTTTGACAGGTTTCATAAATGTACGTCAGAGAAGGTATATTCAGCATGTACTTTAAACTATCTATTTTATGTCGAAGAAACGTATATATTGGTCCTATTTCCGGGAAACAAACTAAATTATTTAAAAAATTAAACAGAAATTAAGTATTATTATGGGTTTCACTCATAATAATATAATAAATAAAAATGTATTGCAACCTCACTTGTTATTGCAGCTAAAATATCAGCAGAATCAGATGAAAATGCAGCGTTAGCGGATTCAACAAATTTGCTAGTTTCATTATTTTGAACATTTGTGGATACACCAAATGCTGATGTACAGACAATATCAAACACCAATTTTTTACACATCTCCGAAATATCAAACGGTTGATCTCCATGCTTCTCGACGTTTGTTAGAAAGACTTTTATCGGTGAAGCCATTAGAGTACTCATCTAAAATATAAATTGTTATATCATTTTAATAGAAATATATTTTTTTTAAATTAAGAAATATCAGCATACCATTTTAATTTTTCTTGTAGTAAAACAAGAATTCAGAATACGTCTTAGGTTTTTTTATTTTTGATCGGTTAATACTCCAAGCATATTTTTAGACTCATTATGTGGAAATCCAGCATTTGGCAACAGCGTCTTTTCCGAAATAAGTAAATAAACAAATAATAAATATATTTTAAGTTTTTCGGGATTTGTGGTAAGTAAAAATTACAGCAGAATACGTACATCTCTATTGCAAAAATTGTAACTGTCCTTTATTTGAATCAGTTTCAAAAATTCAACGTCATTGCATACTAACAATGGTTTTCCTCCTAGATAAAACCTAAAAATAAGTTAAATTAATTATAAATTGTATTAAATTAAAATTATAGATTTTTTTAATGTAAAGTGAAATTTATTCAGTTTAATTATTTTTAAATAAAAACAAATTGATTACCCAAACATTTTTCCATATTGTTCTAGCCATTTTTCTATGCATCTGTTTCTCTGCATGAAAAGTTGAAAACTATATTTTACATTTAAAATTTTATTTTGCTACTTTATCCCAAAATTGAAAATACTCACCTCTATTAAATTCCATTAAATTTCCTAAGAAAAAGTTCGGTTTCGGGCCTGGAATTCCGTAACGTTTAAACAATGACATCTTTTGTTTTCTTCGTCTGTAGGAATTACATGTGACTGTTTACTAAAAGCTGAATTTTAACTTTATATTCTTGTTTATTTGTAGAAATTAAAACTATTTATTACAACAGAAATCTTACAAATTATTAACTATGTTTTATGGAATCACATAACAATGTTGTATTTTATTAAATGACATTTATTAATTATGGAGAATGATATGATATGATTTAAAAATTTAATATTATTATGTAAATTAGTATTTACTATAAATCGATTTTTAATATAATCAGAAAAACGGTAATACATATAACAACTTACCACACAGTGATTTTCTAATTACTACAGTAGATTTTATTGTTTCATGTCTATTGAATAGTTTATAAACTGTAATGGTATCATTTAAATTAGGATGTATACTGCGAAAATTGATTTACTGTCGTTTTAATTATGGTAAGTCATACTTATGTTATTACAAAATATAAATTAAGATAAATTTGCTTATATTTTTACAAAAGATGTATAGCTATTTCCTGTCTAAATATATATTTGTTGTTCTGTATTTAATGTAGTCAAGTGTAAGAGGTGAAGAGCATTTGTGTTGTAAATGTCCTAAGTAAACCTACCAAAATATTTATAAATTTGCCCCTATAAGTACTTTTCTATATTAACTGTATTACTCTTCACCTGTTACTCGTATTGTTATAGATTTTCTAACTATTCCTAGTGATTACATTAAACTTATACAATGATATGTCTGAATAACAGGAAATGAAGCAAAAATGGAAATATACATTTATTTATTTTTATTTAACACAAATTCAAAGTATTCTTACAGAGGTATACAAATATATATTTAATTGTAATTTATACCGCGTTATTATTTTCTTCTATAATGACTTATGATGTTACGTATTGAAACAATGAAGACGTGTTCTTGACATTGTATAGGATTTGGATTTTTGTCAGTAGCAAATCTTTAGTAATATTTCTAACTAAAAATTAACAAAATAATTCAAATCAGCTGGGATATATAAGACACACTTTACCAAGAATTTTGTTGCTGACATATGTTGACTTACTTTAAATAAAATACACTTAATTTAATTTAAACTAATTCATGTACATAAATATTTATATATAATAAATTAATGTTAATTTTAGTAGATGAGTACATTTACTCGTTACGTAAATTTACTTAAATAACGAATTTTATGTACTTTTTCATGTACAATGGATGTAACACAGTGTGGAATAAGAAAAATAATTAATGTAAAATATCAACAATATTATTCTTTTAATGTTAAAACTAATGTCACTCACCTTATTCATAACAGAATGATGCAGATGAAAATAGACAGAATCAATATTAAAGTTTGATTCATTGTCATCCTCTATTGTTTATATTCCATTCCAAGTCTCTCTAAGAGAAGAAAGAAATCTGACGTCTTAAAGAAAACAATGTGATAAATGCAACTTTTATTACTGAAAAAATATGTTAAAAATTAATATTTTGTAGTAAAGTTTAATATTTTATAATGAATAATGTAATATTTTCGTATGAATATACAGCCATACATCATTTCAATTATAAATCTTCGCAAACAAAAATATATAAATATATTAATAGACAATCTAACATCTTATGGCAAAATTCTGTCGCAACCCTTCACAGTTTTTTCTGCTTCTTCTCCTACAACGTTTATGAGTATGTTACTTTGACCTAATCTCTCTACTTTTTATGATAATGATGTAAATTGTTGATATTCTCTTTATGAAATGTCATAAATAAATTGCACAGTGTTGCTACTGTATTATTGTAATATTTGGCTAAATGATTTATACGAACAGAGACAAAATATAGTTATAATTTCGCTTTTTCTATTGATTCATAAATACAGGTCGTTTTTCGAACATGTCCATACTTCTATAACAGAATAATTAAGTTTTATAAGTTGGTATTGGTAAGTAAAGTTGCATATGATCCGTGCATGAGCATTTCCTCAGGAACTGCTAAAGATATTATATAGTAAATACGAGAAGACAAGATTATTGAGAATAATTCTCAGATTTAAGACAATGCGATCTACGTAGCAAGCTTTCTGCAAATCTCGATAATTTGAAATAACATCATACATGTGTAGACAGTTTGTGATTTTTATAATGATTTTTTAATTTGCGATATCTCGCTTAAAAATTGTCGTAGATTTGAGCTGTTTTCTGTTTTTTATCTCGCACATATTACACTTCACGACTGTTCAATTTAAAATATAAATATAATTCTCACAAATAAAAAACACTGCAGTTTCTAAACTATAGTGACAATACGGCTTATAGTTTATAACCCCGATCGGCTTGGAAGAAAAGTGGTTGATTACCAAAATAGGCTTTTTTGTATCGATGATTTATATTTAATTCTATTTATATGTTACCTATACTATTATAATAACAGTGAACTATAATAATCGATTGTTACCTTATTGTATTAATGATTATACATGAGAAAAGTCTCACCCTACAAACCTTAATCGATGCTTATTCGTTGAAGGATAGTCATTTAACTATAATATACCAATTAGAGTTCAACATGCGTGTGAACGAGGATTTTATCTTCTAATAAACGAAAGAATGGTCTTCCATAGACTTAACATCGGAAGGTGTTCTGTGAATAAATTTAAAAATATGGGACGGTAACAAGTATTTTATTTCATTACGCAGACTTAGTCTATGTAGACAAAAGCCAATCAATTGCCAGCGACTAGTTAATTACGAAAGAAAATTGATGCATTCTCCAATAAAAGTAGTGAGCTTTTCGAAAACTAAACCGGTTCTTCCAATGCAGGAATAACGCAAACAAAAGGGTAGAAATCAAGGCGTTCACGGATTCTCTAAAGAAGAAAAAAATCAACTAAAAAGTTGCAGAAAGATGGCGTATTATTTATGCTATTTTGCTGTACAGACTAGACTATGTACAGTTGAAAATGTCTACTGAAACAGCAAACGTCTGAAGTAAGGATCACTTTTGACATTTTATTTTTAAAATTTTATTCTTAATTATTATATAACTAGCAGATAAACCCGGTGTTGCTCGGGCAAAAAGTAACGATAGCTAAGATTAAGATTAGATTATAAGTTATAGTCAATTTTATACGTTTTCAAAAAATGCAAGAATTAGATCCCCCTGTTTCCAGACTAATTAGAGAATTTTTAGATGGGTTAAAAAATGTTTGATTTCCCGCAAAAACGAAAAAACTGCATCCGCGTCTGTAAATCATGACCGTTGCTTTCTCTTAACACTTCCATTGTTCACACTTCCCAGCGGGGGAAAGTGTTAACAACCTAACCCCGCTGGTGAAATTTCGAAATATCCCTTCTTAGTGTATATTCTCGTGACATACTCTATTAAAACGTAATCAAAAACGCAAAACACCGCGTCTACGCCTGTAAATCTTTCACGTCGCTTTCTCTTAACACTTTCATTGTTACTTAACATTTCCATTGTTAAAACTTCCATTGTTGACACTTTCATTGTTAACACTTCCATTGTTGATATTTCCATCGTTACTTAGCACTTTCATTGTCGAAAACTTGATCCTGTTTTACTCCTTCGGGAGAGGAATTTGGAAAAATCCCCTCTTAATGTGCGTTCTCGTGACGTACCCTAAATGTGCACCTAATTTCAACTTTCAACTCCTAACCCTGCGCTGGAGTTGAAAGTTGAAATATAATAATAATAATAATTTGCGCGATTGGAAAAATAATAGAAAGAAAGTTGGAATAATAATAATAAACAGCGCAGAGCCTTTGGGCCCTGCGCTGATTATTATTATTATTATTATTATGTGTTGGGTTTAATGGGTTACTCGGTTCACACCAGTGGCTGTGTACTATGATGGACCAGAGTCAAGGCATAGCAACCAAAAACTAAAATTAAATAACTGTGTCATTGTCTGTATTCAGGAATTTCCTAACAATATGGCATGTATTCAATATACAGTAGAGCGTCGATTATCCGAATCAATTGGGGTCTGGAGTTGTTCGGAACAAATAAATTAATATTTCGGATAACGGATTATGTACGAAAAAATATATTAATTTATCCCGTGTTGAAATTTTTCTTCGTTGCGTGTCGCTTCGCATTGAATTTTCGTCGATTTTAAGCCTAACGTAAACTTTTTAAAATAATAATCGTGACTATTGTATCGTTAAAAATTATTTCTTTTTTTGTACAAACAAAATAAATATATTGAAAAATATAAAAACGATAAAAAAAATTATACTTCAGAAGTTAATTTAGTATCAAAAACGTAAAATATTTGAGTAGCCCAAGACATAGCCGAAGATTGCAGCGCCACAGCACTGGTGAAAATTTAAATTTGCGGACTGGAATTCTTTCAGATAATTGACTTTCGGATAATCGACGCTCTACTGTAGTGTGAAGTATGTATTTCTATTCAATTGTAATGTTCCCAGGTTTGTGTGTAGTGTCTGTAATATCACACCTGTACAGGAAAGAAAACAGGTACAATAAGCACCCTTTCCATCCTCCACAGATGCCTTATTTCCTGGGCAATTATTATTATTATTGCCAGCCGTCTCGATTATATATATGAATGGCAAAAAGTTTTATTTCAAGGAAAAGTATGCTTTCCCTCCCTTTAACCCCAAAATTTAACAGCACGAGTCCCCATATGAAAAAAACCTTTAAAACATTTAAATGCCCCGTAACATTTAAAGCCCCGTAAGTTGAAAAATGTATAAATGTAGAGAATTATCTTTGGACCTACCACCATATTTAAACATTGTGAAAACTGTATATACAAATCATCAGAACACATAAATAATTATATTTTTCACTTACTTTCAGATAAATTCGATGTGGATATTAGGTTAAGGTTACCATATGACGTGATATGAATTATACGAATCTGGAATATACTTTTTCACAGATTACTTATCATTATAGTAAATTAAATGTGAATATAAATGTTTATTCTAAATTGATAATTCCAAAAGAAAATTATAAAAACACTTAATAAGTAAGTCTCGTTATGTGAAAAAGTACACAGGAAGTTCGTCTATCCAGAATGTCCAAAAACATACTGGTGCCGATTATCACGTAATAAAAAGAATAGTGGATTCAATAATGTAAAAAAACTAAAAAAAATGTAATATTAAAGACTTTTAATATATTAACAACTAAATATAATAGAATTAATGGCATTAATAATAGTTTTATTAATTTCTTCTACAGTTGTACTATTAGAGAATTAGAAAATAACCAATAAATATACATTTACCACACTTTGAAATCGTTTTACTCTGTTCTAAAACATATTTGAGAAGAATATTAATAGGAAGAATTAATGTAAACTATTTTGCGTTATTAATTAAAACTTGCTTGTTAGAGGGAAGTGAATTATAAACATATTACTTATCTGGTATACAGTAGAGAAATGCAACTTGGAGTGTTTGTCCTTCACTTTTGAACGATTAGTCGTTCGATTTATACATTTACTTTCGTATAAATTGTGATTTATTATCTGATTTTGTATGAAATTTATTATAAGAAAGTAATTGCCGTTAAATAATTATAAACATTTTAAATTTTACTTATTATGTAGTACGTAAACAATTCGCTTACTACAAGACAGTGTGTAAATTACTAGGAAACCTATATTAAAATAATACATAAAAACCAGCATATTTCACAGCAATTACATGAAATCTTATCAATTTTTCTGTTTATTATAATGTAACTTTTATGAATTTTTTATCAACAAGTTTTTCTAGAATTATTGTGTCGAATTTCTGACGTGTAATTGGCTAGAAGGCATCCAACGAATTTCCAGTCCAACGTATGAGCGATGCCTTCTGGCCAAAAGTACAGAATGTGTCATAAACATCAGACAATACTAGTTACAGTATTACATTCTGGCAGTATTAAAAATTACCTCCAGAAATGCAGTGTAAACGAAGATCGCCCTGGAATTGTTACAGTGATGCCACGAATAGAAAGAGTCTAAAAACAAATGAAATTTAAAAAAAATTGACAGAATAAAAATATAATGCCCTTAGTTCAAAAATATGGTAAAATTCCAACTACATTTGCGTGGTGAAGACTGTTGTCATACGTTAATGTTACTAGCATCCGAAACAGTTTAGATGAATAATTTGGCTAATATTGATGCAAAGAAAAGATAGTATATTTAAAGTGTATTCTGACATATTTACAATGTATAATAAAGAAAGATAAAGATTATACTGAATTAATTTCATAGCCTAAGCTATCATATTATTAAGTTGCAAAAAACAAGTAAGAAACCCCCAACTAGCCAGTAACTAAATTTGGAAAGCTGGTGATGCTGGAATCTACAACCAACATCGTGTGTGAATAACTTATGTTAACTTACTTGTCTTTTCAGTGGTCTTTTATCTCGAGAAAGCTTGAAAAATCCTCAAAGTTCGACACTAGTACAAAAGAAAGTGGATTGTGTTTGAGTGCCAAATTCTTACTTATTGTGTGACAAAATCAATTGCAATATTTTTGAAATTGCTGATATCGACGCTGTAGAAAAAAAATATAAAATTATAATAGAAACTGTTCAATAAATATTCAACCGATAGCTGCAAAATTTATATCCATGCTCAATATGTTGAAATTATTTACACCGTGTAATTTATTTATCTGTACAATACATATTGTATTAATATACAACCAGGGTGAAAAGTGAGTAGGCATGGTGAAATTTTTATAACTTTTGTACTGTTAACGCAATTTTAATAGTACAAGGTAATACAATAGTAATAGTAAAATATAACAGTACAATATTAATAGTTAAAGTACTTGTATTTATGCCTTCACGCGTAGCTATCAACGCAATTGTGTAATTCATGCATCGATTCTGTAGGTAGTAAGCGAGAGAATTGAGATGCGCGCTAGAATAAAACAGTGAACGTCTACATATCTGTTCGGAAGAATAGCTAAGATCACTGCACCCTATGAGGTTTGGAAACCAGAGGTATATATGAGTAGATGACAGCATATTATGAAGGGACATTATGGGCAATCCATCTGGAAACAAACAAGAATTGTTATTCTAAACTAATCTTGACATTCTGTTAAAGATAAACAGAAACGTGATTGTAAATTGTTTAAAGAAATCAGTGGATGTCACCGATTATCGGTGAAGTTTCAAGTACGAATCCATATGGTCGTTTAATCTGCTATTAGCTGAGATATTTTTATCGTTTTTTCTCTGTAAACATTGTAATTATAGCTACTTCTCTATGCCTAGTTATTTTTTACATAGATACATGTATAGAAATAATTAAATATGTATCATTTTGTGTTTCATACTATAGATGTAGTTATAGTTTATGAATGAAAACATGTTATTTTCTGTATTGAAACTCAGAGCCGAAACGTCATTTACTATAGATTTTATAAAAGCAGTGCAACATGTGGTCTATCTATTACAAAGGGATGCCTCTCGTCAGACAACAATTTAAATCATTTTTTTAAACAATATATATATTTAAATGAATGTGTAAAATTACAATAAGGGAACAATAAGAGAATAAGAGATTATATTAGCTGTTGCTTTTACTTGAATAATGTTATTAAAACATTTCAAAAAAATAATTTAGTTTTTCTGTGTGAAATATGTCATCTCCATTGTTTAATGTAAATATTTACAGGGGAAATTATACCTAATAGGGTTGTAATATCGACGATTGGCATGAAAAGTAATTTATTGAAAAGGATGAGAGCGGTACAGTTGTGGTAGCCGTGTTTAAGTTGCAAAAGTATATGGTATGCGACCAGTAATTGTAAATTTCAATTTATTATACAATTTTTGAGTATTTTTATTATAATTTATGTTTTAATTAATTAGAGCATTTAATTACATCATTTTCAGTTTAAATTATGTGTACTTGCTGCTTAAGTTTATCGAAATGAGCATTGAGTAATCTGCGATTGGTTTTATTGACTTTCCATTATTTCTAATGGCAAAAACTGATTCGGACATAAAGTTTCAGAACATTTTCCTACAATGAATTAAATTCGAAGTGTAAGAGTCCATTGTATTTTGCATGAATTTGGTAGATTAAAAGTTTTAAATCGAATTTTATGAATTGAACTGAAGTGATTTATGTCCATATATTACTTAATCTCATTTTACTTTTCCAGCTCTGTTATATGTAACAGAGGGAAAGTATAGTGATCGGTAAAAAGCTGTTTACATTTTTGGATTCGAGACCTTCAAACGTAAAGAAATGCAAAAATTGTGTTTTTCTGTATATATGAATGTTAGAACGTGGCAGATTCAAGTTCTACGGGCTCCTATTTTTTTCTGTTACTTTAATTGAAACTTCTGTTACTTCTCAACATAATCTCTTTGCAGACGTACACATTTTTTACAACATTGACGCCATGACCCCATGGCAGCTGCGAACCTTGTTTAAGGGGTCTGTTTTGTCACTGGAAAATCTGTAATGCTAGAGTGGCACGACTGGAAAATGTGTACTGCGGAGAGTGTCCTTCATCGTTGGAAAAAGTCAAATAAACGCTAGGAGGAAGGTCAGGTGAGTAGGGAGCATGAAAATCCACTTCAACTTCGTTTTCATGAAGAAACTCCTGTGTTAACATTGCCTGAAGAGATGGAGCATTTTTTTATGGAATAGCACACGTGCCGCCGTTTCCGACCGTTTTTCTCGCAATGCTGGAAGAAATTCATAATGACAACATGATTGCACTTATAAAGCAACTTGCTCCACACGTTTGATGAGCGAGCATAGATGTTTCGGTTCGTAGTTACACAATGTTCGATCTTCTTTGAGCTGTCGCACCCACGAAGGGACATTTTTTCACATTCATGACACAATCATCGCAGGTGTGACTCAGCTGAAAATGAAATTCGGTGGATGTCACTTCAAACAAGTGCAGTAAACGAATGATTACGCGTTGTTCCTTTAATGAAAACATTGCCATTTCAAAAACGACTCTCACTCAAACTGCTGTTGCTAGAATTCCGTGTGCCTTGCGATGCTACCCTCTCTGTTAAGCGACCACGAGCTGAGTTCGCTTCTTTTTTAAAAACTGTATGTCTCTATCTGTTCCATTCTTCTCTTAAAAATAGAAGACCTTACAACTTGAATGCACCTCGTATGTGTAGGTGGCAAATTTTTATTCGCATTATTTGAAGTTTAACTCTTCTGGTGTCAGTCTTTCCCAGTGTAAAACGTATACATTGCATTTTATCTGACTCGAAAAGTTAGTAAAATTCTACTTTTTCAGAATTTTCAGAAACTTTACGGTAAAGAATACGTTAATTTGCATGATACTACTCAACCACCGCTGGGTAAATTTTCCGTATATCCGAGTTTTAGGATTTGGATATAAATGGTTCTAAAATATAGTAATAAAAGCTTTCACAGTTGCAATTGCAACAAATGTACTCGTGTAAAAAAAAATTCTGTATGACACGTAAGTGAATGTTAACATGAAAATCTTGCATATTCTTTATTTTCAAGAATAATTACATTCTCGATTCTATTACAGCAAATATTAAAAAGTTTCTTTTGTGGAAAATACGTGATACATTTCGTGGATAAGTATTATTAATATTCAGTAAAACTTTTTGAATACAGGTTGCTTCTACAGGTATTAGACGAACTTTTAAACTAGGTCAGTAATACACAAAGATACCATTTTTACGTATGAACGGGAGCCGCGAGTGTTTCAGAGGGAATTGTTTACTAGAAAATGAGTTGGGTCGTTGCCTTGCAGGTATTGAAATGACTGTGAGGTTACTTCAAAGTCATTACATTTATTACGAAATCTTCCTAGAATCTAACGTTGATCTCGTCTCAAGAATCGTTGAGGGGCACATGTGTTCATGAAGAGGCTGGTATTTTTAAGCACGTTTGTTAATCCATGTGCCAACACAGCGAGGAATGTGTTACTGCTGGTTTGAGCATACTTTGAGCACCTCCTCTCTGTTTCTAAACATACTGTATACCTAATAAACACGTTGCACACCTTATATGTTACCTTTCTACAGGATTTTTCCTGTTTATCTAGTAAAACGTGGCTGGCATTTGCGGCTATATGTTTATATGTAAAAGTGGTTTGTTCTTGCATTTCTGACAAGCCTTTAAAGTTTATCTAAGATCTTTCAAGTCATCTTGTATAGTCAATAAATAATCTACTTCTAAGGTATATTTTACTATGGTAAAATTTGAATACGTACTCATCTGTAAGAAAAACTCGTTTCTAGCGAAAATACTTATTCAAATGCTTGAATCATCGTAATATTTTAGACAAAATAAGTTCAGTAACAAAGCAAAATAATGAAAGTATATATCCAAT